AGTGCCGTTGATTGAGGGTAATGAAAATACTAGATCCAGCACTCCACCGCCATGGATGACATCAAGTATGGCGACCAGCAATGGACTGAGTTAGAGGTGGCTCAATTGATTCCGACAGTTGAATTGATTTTTTCCACACGACTAGCGATTAAATTTCCTAGAAAACTTGAGGATGACTGGAAAATGACCATAAATTGTAGTAGCAATGTGTAGAAGTGAGATATATAATGTTTTTATTATGCCAGACTTCACATCATATTTGGTCGATAATACTACTTAATAATTTAGAAGTTTGAGATCGTCCTCTACCACTTGAGCATAATAGTGCTGTGTCATCTAATCTATGCTTGGGCTAATTTATTTTTTATAGCACCTCATAGACTAGTCAAAGTGTTTGTGTGATATAATGTGTTGATGTCAAAATTAGCAAGGATGATTTTGAACCAACTTTAAGAAAAAAAGACGATTTGTGTTTAAAAAAGATCACAAAGAAGTGATTGTGCCATAAGTCGTTATCTCAATTCGCTTTCTTTTTACTAGGGTCCTATTCAACTATTTATACTGATTTCAGCCGAAATTACATCAAATCAATCAAATCAGGAACAGTGCCGAGCTCGCAACTCGGGTCGCCGAATTCTCCAATGATTGGTCAACGAGGCCGATGGTCATGTGCCAATGTATTGCCAAGGTAATGATGACCTGTAGGGAGTTGGAATTCGAGAAATTGAAATTGGCTATTCCGGGCGGCGATGACATCGCCTGTGGCAAGTGTCTCTGATTGATAGGGTGATATGACAAGGGGTAATCATGGTGTTTTTCTAAGATAACGACGGGTAACTCTGACCTGAGAGTGTGAACCGAACTTACTTTTAACTGAGGTGAGGTTAGCGAACTGTTTTTACCAGATCGGAGTTTGGATGTCAACAGTTACCCCCCAGGTCAACCCTGTCGTAGGGGGGCTGACCTCAATGATACTTTCTCCAAGTAGTACATTTATGGCTGTGACAAGTGTCATCTTTAGAGGTGGGTGAGCTGTACGCTACTTATAAATAGCTTCTTCAACAAGCTTTGGCCAAAACTACGTCGTTTTGTCTTCCAGAGTTTCGGACCGCTGATATTTTTCCTCTATTTCCGGATGAATGGCTTAGATCACGCCCTCTCATCTTCCTTTTCTTTAAATCAGGTTTTGGTCAATCATTTCTCTTCCTATTTCGCTGATTTTTACGCTCTCAGATATTTGGGCGATTTTCCTAAGTTCGTATTCCTGTATTTGAGTGAGGTCGTTTTCTTTGTTCGTCTCCCAGGTATCCTTCTGTTCTTATCTGCTGCCTCCTTTCAGTTTGTGATTCTTTTCTTAGTTTATACACGAGTTCAGACGAGTATAGAGTTCATTCCTCAGGCAACCAGCAGGAAGAGTCAGTTTCCTCGAGTTCGTCCTCTAGTTGTAGGGAAGTTTTTACCCCCATTCCTATTTCTATAGTTAACTCAACTGGCCTAAGGCATCCTGTGATGGACTTAGGACATAAGGGTTCCAAGGGAGCAAGGGGATCTGGTAAGGATGTTGAGGATGGTATTTTCGAGGAGTGGGGGGCGAGTTCTTATAGGTCGGTTGTGACAGGGGATGTGTTGGCCAGCTGGCGAGCTAAATACGCCATTCCTAGTTCGGTAGTTATGATAATGCTAGAGCCTTCTGACCGAGCTGACACTCCTCCTGAGGGATGTGTTGCTCTGAACTCGGCTATCCTCCAGGCTGGCCTTAGGCTTCCTTTTCCTAGGATGATCCGTAAATTCCTTTCTTTTTGGGGCATAGCTCCCACGCAGCTATGCCCTAACGGGTGGCAAATCTTTATAGCCACCCTTATTCTGTGGGACCAAATGGGGAATCCCAAACTGAGTGTCCAGCAATTCGATTCTTTGTTTACTTTTAAGGAGGATGGGAAGAACTCGGGCTGGTGGTACACAAGCGTTAGGCCCAGGACGAGAGGTTCTTTGGTGTTAGACACCCCTTCCTCAATTAAAAAATTGAAGGAAGAATGGTTTTACGTATCGGGGGAGTGGCAGTTTCATTCTACCGAGGTGAATAGGGAGGACGTGGTTCCAGGCTCTATCATTCGTTATGTAAGTGTCTTTTTGGGTTTTAGTCTTTTAGCAAGGCATATGTTTTACGAAGTGCTGACCTAGGTATTTTTCTTTGTGCAGATTACAAGAAGGAGACGTTAACCAGAGACACTCAGAGAAGAGCTGAGAGAATAAGATCGTTACCAAAAAAGCAGAGGTCCTGTAAGTTGGTAATTTCAGATTCGAACTTATACCGGGCCGGACTGCTGCAAGTACGAGCTTCAAGTTCTGTTCCCTCTAGCTCAGGTAATATTTTGATCTTCATTCGCGATTATAATTTCTTTATGCATATACATATTTTCTTTTTTAGCATTTCGTTTTCTCTCAGGTCATCAAAACAAAATGCGGGGCTACAAGGCGGCTAAGGCAGCTGCTGCATCGAAGGGAAAAAAGAGAGAAGTTCCAGATTGGATGGAGAGCCGTTCTGAGGAGGTGGAGGAAGAGGTTCCGTTAAAGAGAAACCGATCTGCGCCCCCGACATCACTGAGAATTCCGGAGGCAGTGCCTTTGCCGAGCCCGACCCTGCCGTCTCCCTCGTTGCCATCACCAGTTGTTCCTTCTGCTGTGGGGACCAGTTCTGCAAACTTGAAGGATTGGTACCCAGATCTACAAAGGTCGGGCTGGGAAAGTCTGGTGGGACACAGATCGGAGATATTTCTGGACTACCTCCGAGCTCCTTCTCCTCCCAAGGGCATGACTGCTGCCCTCACTTCGCCTTTGAGGGAGTCGGCTAATTTACTTACTCGAAGCTGGGATGAGAGGGAGCAGAGCTATTTGAATGAGATGCCAATTGGCGAGGCTCTAGTCACTGCTCAGCTCCATGGCCACCGATCAGTTTTGTACATGATAGCAGTGGCGGATAAGGTATACCTCTTGCTTGTTTGTTTTTTGTTTTTTTTTATGCCTTAATGACTTGCTTGATTTTTGATTTCTAAAAACAGGTGAAGTCCGAGCTAGACAAACTCATAGAGGCCAAAGATCAAGCCTTCAACCTTTATAATAGCATGGAGGCTAAAAAGGCCCAGTTTGCTTTGTGGGAGAACGAGTACGAGGAGAAGCTGAACCAGATGGGAATTGAGCTGAACTCCAGGCTTGATGTTGAGGAACGACTGATGGAGGAGAAGAGGCCAGAGCTTGGGCAGAAGAAGAGCGTGGCAAAGTTAGGGAGGACATCCAGAAGGTTCAGGAGGCCAATGAAAGGGCGAGGCAAGCCATAAAAAAGGCTGAAGAGGCTGAGACCAAGATCGATAGGGCGGTGGAGGCCTGGAAGGAGTCCTCCGAGTTTGATGTGGTGGCCCAGGATGTGTACATTGTGGCCCTAGAGGAGTTGATAGGGCACATCAGGAAGGAGAGGTCTGATCTTGATGTGGCCTTTTTGGATGAGGCACTAGAGGGGCAAAAGGAGGAGTTATGGAAATTGTTGGAGTCTGCAGGAGTCCGGGTGTTACCGGAAACTCAGGATGTTGGAAATACCACCCCTGCCCCCCAAGACCCTTAGTTTTAGACTTGTGATTCAAACTTTGTTTTGATTGATTTATGATGTTTTAATTTGAAATGGATAATTTGTTTATGTTTAGTACGAATTTTTCTCATAGACTAAGCAAAAATTGTAAGAGTGTTACAATAGTGTGTAGAATTACTTTAAATGAATTTCGCTTAGTTGTGCAGTATGCGCTTTCCAAATTAGGCATATAGGTTGGGCATTTGTACTAAGTGTCGCAGCACGTACAACCTTAGATCGGCCTGCATATGAGGCATGGCTTAATGAGGTTCCTTAGGAGGAATCTTCCACTAAGTGTCGCAGCACATGCGACCTTAGATAGGCCTGCATATGAGGCAAGGTTTAATGTGGTTTCTTAGGAGGAATCTTCCACCAAGTGTCGCAGTACATGCGACCTTAGATTGGCCTACATATGAGGCAAGGCTTAATGAGATTTTGATAGGTTGTCGAGCAAAAATGTTCAAAAGAAATAGAAAGTCCCTTTTTATTGATATGATTGACGTTACAAGGGGACTTTTTCCGTTTACTGGTAGTACTGCTTAAGGTGTTCAGCATTCCAAAGGTGGGGTAAGGATTTGCCCTCCAAGTCTTCCAGTTCATATGCCTCTTTTAGCAGGACTTTCATTATCAGATAGAGACCTTCCCAATTCGGACCTAGGCATCCACTGTCGATCTCTTTTGTGGGGAAGAATACTTTCCGTAAGACGAGGGATCCTACCTCAAATTCTCTTTTTCACACTTTTTTATTATAGTACTTGGCGTTTCGCTATTTGTAAATGGCATTTTTGAGTTTGGCGTTGTTCCTTTTTTGCTCCGTTAGGTCGAGCTTTGTGCGAAGTGCCATGTGGTTCCTTTCTTCGTTGTAATCAGTTATGCGTAGCGAAAGAATGTGGATTTCCAGAGGGATCACGGCCTCTACGCCGAAAGCCATTGAAAATGGGGTTTCTCCAGTGTTTGTTCTTGCGGTAGTTCGATAAGACCATAACACACTGGGGAGTTCCTCAGCCCATCCTCCTTTTAACAAGTCAAGTTTTGCTTTCAATGTGTGCTTAATAATCTTGTTAATGGCTTCGACTTGGCCATTTGCCTGTAGATGGTTTGGTGATGATAAATGTTTCTTGATGCCGAACTCTTCGTAGAAATCTGAAAGTCGTGTGTTGTCGAACTGTTTTCCATTATCCGTAACAGTGGAGTGAGGTATGCCGAACCTGCAGATCACTGATTTCCACAAAAAATGGGTTGTTTTCTGTTTGGTGATGGTGGTAAGGGGCTCTGCCTCAGCCCATTTAGTGAAATAGTCCACTACGACAATGGTGAATTTTACACCTCCTTTCCCAACGGGCATGGGTCCAATTACGTCACCCCCCCATTTTGCTAAGGCCTAAGGTACTGTCACTGGGTTTAGTTCGTGCGGTGGAGTGTTTATGATGGGGGCGAGGCGTTGGCACTTATCGCATCTTTTGACAAATTCAAGGGAATCTTCTTTTATTGCAGGCCAAAAATATCCTTGTCGTACGATCTTGTGGGCCAGTGAGAGTCCGCCGGAATGATTTTCACATATTCCTTCGTGAATGTCTTGCAGGGCGTACTGAGCTTCCTCTTCATTCAAGCATCTTAACAAGGGCGTGGAATATCCCCGTTTGTATAGTATATTATCAATGAGAGTGTACCTAGCCGACCTTGTTCGGAGCTTTCTAGCCTCTGCAGGATTTTAGGGGTATTTTCTGGTTTTCAGGTAAGAGATGATCTCATCCTGCCAAATTGGTTTGGGGTCTATCATCATCAGGACCACTTTATCCAGCTCGGTAGACGGTAGGGACATCCTTCCTACGGGAATGCTATCGAATTCCTCGATTTCCTCACTGGTGGCTAGACGAGCCAATGCATCGGCATGATTGTTGTGAGATCGGGGAATTTGTTTGACTTGGGTGGTTTTGAACCTTTCGAGTTCTTTTTTTACAACACGTAGGCAGTTGTCCATCCTGTCTTCTTTCGCCATATATACACCGTTGACCTGATTCACGACTAGTTGGGAGTCGCTGTGCAGGATTAGGTCGGAGATCCCTAATCCCGAGGCCATCCTTGCTCCAGCAATAAGAGCTTCGTACTCAACCTCATTATTTGAGGCTTTGAAGTCGAATGGCAAGGTTTCGCAGAACATGCGGTGATCAGGGTTGATTAATACGACGTCGGCTCCAGATCGTTCTCTGGTGGATGAACCGTCGACATAAAGTTTCCAAGGGGTTTCTTTATGTTGTTCTTCAGTTGGGACGTTGCAGAACTTAGAGACACAGTCGGTGAGTGTCTGGCCCTTTATGGAGGAACGAGGTGTATATTTGATATCGAATTTTTCGAGCTCTACTACCCATTTTACCATCCGTCCAGAGGTATCGGGCCTTTGTAGCATTTGTCTCAATGGAGAGTTGGTCAGGACCTCAATGGGGTGTTCCAAGAAATATGGCCTCAGTTTTCGCGCTGCCATCAGCAGGGTGAATGCCAGTTTTTCTACAGCCGAATATCTAAGCTCGGCTTCATGAAGTGCTTTGCTTACGTAATAAATCGGATGTTGAATGTCATTTTCTTCTTGGGTTAGAACGGCGCTAATGGCGTGCTTTGAAACAGATAAATAGATCTTCAAGGCCTCGCCTGCCTTAGGTTTTGAAAGCACCGGAGGTCTGACTAATTATCTATTTAGCTCATTAAAGGCATCCTGGCATTCTTTGGTCTATTCGAACTTCTTTCCACCTCGTAACGTGTCGAAGAAGGGTTTGCATTGGTCCGTAGATTTGGAAACGAACCGACTGAGGGCCGCAACCCTTCCAGTTAAACTTTGTACTTCTCCGGGTTTAGTTGGGGGTTTCATTTGGATGATAGCTTGTATTTTTTCATGGTTTTCCTCAATTTCTCTGTTGTTTACGATATAACATAGGAATCTTCCTGAACAAACCCCGAAAGCACATTTTCTCGGGTTCAACTTCATTCCATACTTCTTCAGTATATCAAACATTTCAGTTAGGTGTTGACAGTGGTCCTTGGCCTTTATACTTTTGACTAGCATGTCGTCAACATATACTTCCATTGTTTTTTCGATCTACTGGGAAAACATGGAATTCAAAAGTCGCTAGTAGGTGGCGCCAGCATTTTTGAGATCGAATGGCATTACTCTGTAACAGTAAAGACTTCGATCAGTTATGAAAGAGGTATGCTCCTGATCTGGGCCGTACGTCGGTATCTGGTTGTATCCAAAATACGTGTCCATGAAGTTGAGTAGCTCATGCCCAGCTGTGGCATCCACCATTTGATCTATTCTTGGCAATGGAAAGCTGTTTTTGGGGCATGCTTTGTTGAGATCGGTGAAATCTATGCATATCTTCCAATCTCCATTATGTTTTTTCACAAGAATCTGATTCGAGACCCACTTCGGGTATTTCTCTTCACGGAGGAAACCGTTGTTCAACAGTTTTTGCACCTCTTTGTTTAGTGCTTCATTGTCGTTTTTGCTGCTTTGGCCGAGCTGAGGGATCCACCCGTAATTTGTGGCATGCAATATTAGGATCTATTCCTCTCATGTCACTATGATCTCAAGCGAAGACATCGAGGTTCTCTTTAAGAAAAGCCACAAGCTCGCTTTGGGTGGAGGGCTGCAATTCGCACCCAACTTTGAGTTCCTTTGTTTGGTCCTTGGTACAGACTCAAACTCCTTCTAATTCTTCTACGGGTTCTCCACCTTCGATCCTGGTCTGTGGGTCTAAGGGAATGAGTTCGGATTCCCATATGTTCGCCATATGTATCCTCGGGAAGCTGTGTTGATGGCTGGTATAGGTATTCCATTGGCAACTTTCGACGAGCTCCCTGTTTTCTTTTACTTCCGCCACACCATGGGGTGTGGGGAACTTGATAGAATGGTGATATAGGGAAACTGCTGCTCTCAAGCTGAAGAGTAGGGGCTGTCCCATCACAGCATCATAAGGGAAGGGGGTGTCAAACACCATGAACTCGGAGTTCGTCTTCAACTACTGAAGTGTTGATCCAGACTCGACTTTGAGTTTGATTGATCCTTTGGTAGAAGTCAAGACTCTGCTTAATCCTAGGGCCATATTTGGGTATGGTTGAAGAAAGTTAGTAGGGATACCCATCCATTTTAGGATGTGGCTGAATAGGATGTTCAGAGAGCTTCCTGTATCCACCAAGACTTTGGGGATGGTTACCCCGGCTATAGGCAACAAGATTATCATAACTCTGTGGTAAGGGTGTGGGTCCGCCTCTTTTCGTCAAAAGATAGTTGCTCGTCTATGGCTTTTTTGAGATCTTTTTTCGTTATGCCTATCTTTGAGAGATCTGCAACGATTGGTCCCTTTGGTCTGGCTTTCTCGACTTGTGTGTTCGTCCTACTCCTTAGCATGTTGACTTGTGGCCTTTGCAGGTCGATGTTGCAGGCCCTTGCAGTAGCTTGATCCCCTCAGATAATTCCAGTCCCGTAAGGGGTGGGAAATTTCACACAATAGTGATAAATTGACGTGGCAGCCTTTAGTTCGTGCAAAATGGGTCGTCCCAATATTGCATTGTAATTGGACGGTAAATCGACCCCCACAAAATCCGCTAAGATTCTTCTTTGGCGAGGAGCTTCGTCCAGCTCCACATTAAGGACTACCTGACCTAGGGCTTCGATAGGATCCTCAGAAAATCCCTGTAGTTTCCTTGGATATGGTTGGAGGTAGCGAATTAATATTTCCAACTGCCTCAAGGTTCGTGAGTACAGTATATTGACCGAACTTCCATTGTCCACTAGAGTGCGATGGACTTTCACTCCGGTGACCATCATTGTGACCACCAGGGCGTCACTCTGGTCTTGGAGGATTCCTTCAGAATCTTCTTCCATGAACCAGAACGATTCAGGGTCAATGTCGGTCCTAGGGATTTGATCCCAGTAGTTCGGTAGGATTTTTGCACTTCGAGCTTTCCTTCGCCTGGCCCTTCTGGATCCTTCAATATACTGATTTCCGCCCACCATCATTTTGATTTCGGCATGTGAAAGTGGGTTACGGTTGGGGATCACCTGTTGGGTTTGTGTGGGGGCCCCTTGCAGCTGTGGCTGTTGCAGCGTAGGTCGATCTGCTTCTTTTGGCTTGGTAACAAACTCCTGTAATCGACCTCGCCAATTAATGATGCAACTTCCTCTTTTAAGTCCCGACAGTTATCAGTATCATGGCCCATTGTCCTGTGGTATTGGCAATATCGTCCTTAGCGTTGTGCAGCCTGTTTGTTTTTCAGGACTATAGGTCTGCGAAATGCTTCTTTTGTGTTGGCTTGCGTGAATACCTCTTTCAAGGAGGCTTTGAGTGGGTGGTACTCCCGAAACTTGTACGGCTGAGCCCTGGGATGATCTCTTTCTCTCATGTCCTTCTTTCTTTCTGGTTGAGGACTGCGGCTTGATTTTTTTTCTTTCACCGCATCATTAAGGTCAATTTCTTGTCTTACTTCCTCTTGGTCAGAGGTTGCCTCCTCAGTGCTTATGTGTTTCTCAACTCGATTCAGGAACTCGTGATAAGTCTTGGGCCGTCCTCGTGTACTGACCATGAATCTTGTTTTGGGTCTTAGTCCTGCTAATACGGCCATGAGTGCCGCATCGTCAGATATTTTTTCTACTTCCATGGATTGCTTGTTGAATCTACCCAGATAGCTTTTGAGGGATTCACTTCTTCCCTGCTTGATGCTCACTAGACGTTCTTTGAGTGTAGTTCTAGCCTTTGAGCCCATAAACTGGGCCAAGAATGCCATGGCTAGATCATCCCAGTTTTTTACCGACCTTAAGTGTAGCCTCCTGAACCATCTTTTGGGCTTTGTCTCCTAGAGTTAGGGGAAATGCTCGGCACATGATTGCGTTGCTTGCCCCCTGTAGTTCCATCCACGAGGTGTATTTGTCAAGGTGGCTAAGGGGGTCACTATCTCCTTCATATATGGCGATCTAGGGAATTTTCAAATTTTCAGGCAGTGGTTCTATATGTCGTTTGGTTTGGTAACCTTCCATGCCGCCTTTGTTTTTAGCCTTCAGTTTGGCGATGCATTTTTTAAGCGCGCTTAGTTCGGGTTCTGTTTGTTCCAAAGGGCGTTTCAGGTCGATTTGTCCTTGCGTAGGAGTCAGCGAGTGACGAGTCCCCAATCTGTCGAACACACTTGCAGTCCTTCTCGCCTTAGGTTCCTTGCTTTTGACCTCGTCGATTTGGCTTCTCGATAATTCTCCTCTTAAAAAGTGGAGAGTCCTCCTGGTGGAGGGACGCTTTGCCTTTGTCCTTATAAGAGATTTCACCTCGGTATCTAGTGGGGACGAATGGGCTTGCCTCCTTTCCATTCGTCCCACTGAATTTGTCAATTTTTCTAGAGCTTCCCTCATTGCAATCATTTGAGGGTCCTGTCGTTGTGAAGAATCCAGTGGTACATTCGTTTCATGAGGGTGGGTGTACGATGGATTTTTGGAGCTAGAGCTATGACTCATGGCCAGTGAAAGAAAAATTTTGTTTTTATGGAGCAAATGAAACTATTTTTTCACAATTAGGGCCCTCCTTCTAGCGCCAAACTGTTGATATCAAAATTAACAAGAATGATTTTGAACCAACTTTAAGAAAAAAAGGCGACTTGTGTTTAGAAAAGATTGCAAAGATGTGATTGTGCCATAAGTCGTTATCTCAATTCGCTCTCTCTTTACAAGGATCCTATTCAACTATTTATACATATTTGAGTCAAAATTACATCAAATCAGCAACAGTGTCGAGCTCGCAACTCGGGTCACCGAATTCTCCAATAATTGGTCAACGAGGCCGATGGTCATGTGCCAATGTATTGCCAAAGTAATGATGACCTGTAGGGGCTGGAATTCGAGGACTTGGAATTGGCTATTCCGAGCGATGATGACATCACCTGTGGCAAGTGTCTCTGATTGATAGGATGATGTGACAAGAGGTAATCATTGTATTTTTCTAAGATAACAGCGGGTAACTCAACCTGAGAGTGTGAACCGAACTCACTTTTAACTGAGGTGGGGTTAGCGAACTGTTTTTACCAGATCGGAGTTCAGATGTCAACATAATGCATTGAATGTTGCTGTCTGTCTCTGAGTGTGTGTGTGTGTGTGTGTGTGTGTGTGTGTGTATATATATATTTTCATTTTAAATTCATGTGTTATAAACATGTTTTTGTAGTTCATAAAATCTCAACATAACTATGATTTATTGAATGTGTTATATGTGCTGTATGTAATCAGGTTAAGTTTATTAGTAGCTATTTGTGATCAGATCTGTGTATGCTGGTATACTCTACGAGCAAGACTGTGCAAGCTATTATTGTTTGTGACTAAATCGGTGTTGATTATGATTGTCTGTAACAAACTGTGACCTTGTGTGTTATACAATGGAACTGTATATGATGAGGTTTGTTATAGCATTGAATGTTTGTGACTAAATATGTGTAAGATATTATTTGTGAAAAGATATAGGTAAGCTGTTATTGTTTGTGACCAAGTCTTTCTTCAATGTGATTGTTTATGTCCATGTTTATCTAAACTTTAATTGTAAATGGCCAAGTAGTTCTTAAATGTGTCCATCTGTTATCATGCCTTTCTTAAATGTGATTGTCTATAACCTAATCTACCTTAACTATGACTAGCATCATCTTGACCATGATTGCTTTTAACTATATCTGTGATAACTGCATTTTGTGATCTAATATGTGAACAATGACCTTTTGTTACCAATTTTATGTTAATTGTGACTACATATGACCTTTTATGTGTTAATTGTGACTTTCGTGATCAAATTTGTATTATTTGTGATTGTATGTGATCGTGTATGCTTTCATTGTGAATGTTTGTGACATGTAATGCATTAATTGTGACTTATTGTTATCTAAATGTGACCTATTATTGTTCACTGCAATTTATATTAATAAGAGACCCATTTTATAGGTTACAACTTATTTTTTATAATAAATTTTATAAGTTGCAACTCATTTTACAATCACAAATTATTATATTAGTTGGTCACAAATTATTTTTTGATCATAAATTAATTGGTGACAATTTATTTTTTTTATTACAAATTACACAATTTATAGGTCACAACTTATTTCACGATCACAATTATCCAATTAATTGATCATAAATTATTTTTCAATCACAATTTATATAATTAATTGATCACGACTTATTTCTTGATTACAAATCGCAAGTTTTATAGGTTATAACTTATTTTTCGGTCACAAATTATAAGATTAATTGGTTACAAGTTATTTATCGATTACGAAGATACAAATATATAATTATGTGGTATTAATTATCTATTTATTTAAATATATTTCTTAATTAAATAGATAAATACATAGATTGACGTAACGTCATACTGTTTATTATCACAGTTACGTACTAGTAAAAAACATATGACGTCGAAGTTACAAATCACAAATTTTATACGTCACAACTTATTTCTAAGCTATTTTTCAAATTAGTTGATCATGACTTATTTCTAAGTCACAAATTAGTTGATTTCTAAGTTAAAAATCATAATTTTTTTAAGTCACAACTTATTTCATGTTCACAAATTATCAAATTAATTAGTCACAACCTATTTTTCAATCACAAATTTTATAGGCACAACTTATTTCTAAGCTATTTTTCAAATTAGTTGATCACGACTTATTAGTCACAAATTAGTTGATTTCTAAGTCACAAATCATAATTTTTTTTTTTAAGCCACAACTTATTTCACAATCACATATTATCAAATTAATTGGTCATAAGTTATTTCTTGATCAAAATTTATCAAATTAATTGGCCACGACTTATTTCTTGATCACAAATCACAAATCACAAATTTGAGTCGGGCAGGTTACTTGGGCTTCAACCAGTTGGTGCCTCCACATTCTGAAAAGAATCCATTTTCTTCTGCCCAGAAACATTTGCTCAATTCTACTTGGATCACTCTACTTTTTCTCATTCTGGTGATAGGCTGAGTATTTCCAGGGAATCAGATGCTTACTCAAGTTAAGGAAATTGGCATCAGAATAGGCAGAACAAAACTTGCAAGCCAGATTTTGAGGATATCGAAGCTTACAGAGCATCCTTTGGGTTCAGTGCTGATGAAATCATCACAACAACTCAATTTGTGGAGATTTTTGATGTAACAGAGGATTCCTATAGCATGACACCACATGAGGGGAAGCATATCATAACTGCCCCATCAGTCAAAAATCCACTAGCAGAGAAGACAAATGAAGGTTTCCTGAGCCCACAGTTTGGTAAAGCGAGACAGAATCATACTGGTGTGCCTGGTTCATGCAACGGTTTTGTGTTGGATCTTCTAATTTCCGCTTCCCCTCTTGTGATGTGCATGCCCTAAAAATTGTGCTATATTTAGCCCCTCTTTGGTAACCATTCTTTTAAATTTTTTTTTCTCGTACTTATTTACAACTACACATTCTTACAATAAAATATTCTTTATATAAACTCAAAACTTTTTTCAACTTTTTAACCACACATTCTCCAAATATTTACGATTCAAAAACTCGTTATTTTTAAAAAAAATTGTCAAACAGGGGCTTAATGTACTTGTATATTCAACGCTCGTGGTACAATTTTGATATTTAACCCTTGTTTGGTTCCTATTATTTTCAAAATGCATTTTTCCTCTTATTTTCAACTACACAATTTTTAATAAAATAATATTATATGCAAATTCAAAACTTTTCTTTATTTTTTAATCATACATTCTCCATCAAAATTCCATTCCAAATGCATTTTCTGGGGAAAAAAATGGGGTTTAAATAGGCTCTTATTGGTGTCCTATCAATCCCATTTTGATTAAACTTTAGTTTTTGCCGGTGTACATAGGCTCTATCGTGCATTCATGATTGAATTGAATTACGAGATAGAACGTTGTTTATGATAACATTATTTTCTTAGTTTTTTACTTTTATATCTCAAATCATGTTCCACATAGTCGATTTGGAGATGGTTCTAGACAAAACGAACCTCATAACTACATTGTGAGTGATATTGATGATGTATTCCATAACGTGGAACTTCTAGAATTAGCTAGAAACATCATTTATGCTCATCAAATTCTGATACAGAAATTGAGAATAGGAGAGGGCAAAGCTTGAGATAATGCAAAGGTTCAGGGGCGAATCTAGGGTTGGAGGTCAGCTAGGGCGGACATTGATCGACAGTGACAGTTGATCGTTGACCAGACAATCAACGATCGTAATAACGAGATTATTTATTAATATTTAATTAAATAATATTAAGAATCCATCTATATATATATATATATATATATGCACTAAAACTTAAAAATTCTATACGTATGAAAATATGAAAAATTCTATCCAATCATTTTATATATCTATTCACACAATTTTTATATCTATACATCAACACCATTTTTTATATGTTTATCTTCCATTTTTATATATCTCGTACATGTTAATTCATTTACTTTAATCATAAGAGAACAAAAAATCAGTATTGACGTCAAATCAATTCACTTTTCAAATTTTTTAAAAAAAAAATATGATTGACCCTACAAAAAACTAATCATTTTTTGACTTCTCGTAAGGTCAGTGTGCTCACCATACTTATAAATTGTGCCAAACAAACTATGAAAATTTCTTCACTCGAATTTACATCCATGAAATAACAACTAAACTTTTCCCTTTTCACGGATTCATAAATTCTACTAATTTTTTTAGTATAAAACCAGAATTACTGATGGTAAATTTGACCATTGTTC